ATACAACTTTTGTTTTTTCAATAGGAAGAGGGCCATGTGACACATCAAACTTATTAGTAATGTCACAAGAAAAACCATGGTGTGCTTGGTTTCAATGTAACTTTATTCTTTCATGAGTTATTTACAAGTTTTTTCGAATTGATGATATGTTGTGGGGAACAAAGACCAAACGGCTTAATTTATTAAAACGAGGAGAAAACGATCACCTTTAAGGTGTCGCGGATAAATACAACCACATAAAATGATCTGACCAAGACAAAAACTGTGGTATTTTGTAAATATAATAATAAATGTCAATGTACTATGTAATTGTGTAACTTTATTAGCAGCGTAGTCCTGTGGACAAATGATTTCACTGTTACTTATTATCTGTATTATCATTGTATTAATTAACCTTGTATTAAGTCATTATCATTGCATTAGAACCACATAACAAGCATTGCATTAAAGCATTTATTGAAGCTGTTGATATTACATTAAAGTCTGTATTTCAGGTGTTAGCATAATCACATAATAATCTTTCATTGCAGGTGCAACTGTAATCATTTTATACACATTGCATTTTGGTGCTTTTAAAGAGTTGAAGCTCGGTCAGTTAATTGATGGTCAGAAGCTTCGTCCGGCGCGATGTCCGGCTGATCTATTGAGCAAAGTGACTTAGAGCTATGGAAAGGTTGCTTACACGCTTACAAAACACTTATACCATATTATTCAGTATGATCCTTTGTTCATTTATGTTTTTATTAAGCTTTAAGTAGGGCCATTTGATTAAAACATTTATTCAATATATTACATATATACTTTCAGTTAGGTTAGTACACATATGAGAGTGGCCTCTGTCTGGTTGGGAGCTTTAGTAGGCGAGGTGAGAGGTGAAACAGCGTGCAATTGAGGTCGGGACACACATACACACACATCGTAGGTAGATTCATTTCTAGGTAAGAGTTCAGACATATTTTGCAAGCTTGCAACTGCATTTTGTGCCTGCATAAGTGATAGTTTGTTGTAGGACGTGCTCTGAGGTTTCGGAGATAAGCGAGGGTAAGATGAGCTACCGGATGCGCCTGGCGTGGAGACGAAGAGAATGTTCTTTTCAAATGTGTCAAAAGTCGTTACCAGAACATTTGTGGTTTTGAAACTTATGCATGTATTGTATCTGCTTGACGCATGAGGGGGCGTCATAAATATTACCCTGATGTTATAAAAACAACTGCTTGTGTATTATTGGGCGGAGATCTACAGCTGATGTTTTGCAGTGTACATCTCCCCACACGTGTGTTCATTAAAATCATCGTTTGACCTAACCCTCCTGGACCAGTGTTGTGATTTGGATTCCTCCTGTATCCCTCCTCGATATTTGAATCCGTAACACATCCTCCTCTCTGCCGCTTAATGCTCCCTGGTCGCTATGGTAAGGTGTAAATATTTCTTTCAAAATAAGACACATCTACAACAAGGGAAAGACCCAGGGAAACCAAGTTAACGATAAAAACCCTGAAAACCATAAATTTCACACCGGAGCCTCAACTCTCGTGGCCCAGTACCAAACAACTCACGGACCGCTGCTGTACAGAACCTCTGATGTCCAGACGGTGTTCCTCTGGTGTTCTGCTGTGAAAACTTTTGGGTTTAGG